TATGCAAAAATAAAGGAGGGAATAGGCAAACAAAGCTTGGTAAAAATAAGTTAGACAAACACCTGTCCCCCGTCAGGTGAGATTGACCCACATAGACATTAATTCGCTGCCTCACTGGCGGAAGCTTTTTTGGCTGCCCAAATCGAGTTTTCTATTGCAGAAATTGTTGTTCACAGCGAAACGCCTCAATGCGCACAGTGGTTAGTGTTACTATTTCAGCGGTGTTGCCAAAGGGTGAAGTACACCTTGCCCACTCACCTGACCACGCCCCCCTTCCCCCTTTTGAAACGCCTTGACTTGAAACCACTCACTAAGCGCCTGGGAATTGAAACTATTAAAGCAGCTTTTTTTTAAGGGGTAAGACTGGTTTTCTTGTTTCTTTTAAGATTTTTGTGGGTTATTTAATTATGGAAAAAAGAGTCAATGGATTCATAAAAATTCCAGAAAGCCGAAGAAAGGGTTGGAATACAAAAATTACACGAGATAAGACAGTAATTTAATTCCTAAATTTAAATTTAATTAAATGATTCTTGATACTCTGTGAATGAAACTAAACTTGTAAATACTCCTTTCATAAATTACTAAAATGGCAATGGAAAATACATTATAATTTACACTTTAAAAGCAAGAAACGTAGTTGAATTCCTTTATATATTAAATTCTTTAGCACTTCAGAAATTTTGGTTAGCTTACAAAAAACTTTTACTTTAACAAACATTTCGATGTGCTTCGGTTCGTTTCTCCAGAAATGGTAACAAAATTACTAGGGGTCAAGAAATGTCGCGATTGTTGCGATTTCCAAAGAAACAATGCCCTGAGTCACAGTTGATATAAAGAAATGTACGTCTTTTGTTGCCGGACAAGTGAAAGTATTTATGGACATGTGGGCGGCGACTTCTCCAACTGGCTACAATGGGCGTGTCTTTTGAGCTTTCTTAAGAATTAGATATGAATATAACAAACAAGATGAATACGACTAAGTGCAACAAAAACAACAAGTTTGTGAAGGGTTTTTGGGTGAGGATTTAATACGCACATGTCTCTCAAATGACTGCGACGACGGTCATAAGGAAAATACTCAAAATATTCATCATCCATTTAGGTGAGTTCAGTTTTCTTTTAGTTAGGTGTTTATATGGATTTTATCTTTTATCGTTTGGTTAGCTCATTTGGCTATAAGGTTTAAGTGCCATTGGCCGCATTGCGCACGTCATTGACTTTAATTTGTTGACTGCAACCGATAAGATCTGTTTCTTTAGCTTTTTGATAAGATTAAAAGACTTGAACGGGTTAAACAATAATGCTTTGTTTATTTAGTCATTAAAATATTTTAAAGCATTTAACAGGAGACGTTATTGTTCATTTAACACTGTGATAGCATCGTTGTTACTAAATATTTTCGAACCTCAGTGGAGTTGTGTCATTAAAATTTGATAAATTAAATTTGGCATATTAACTTAGTTTCTGTTAGAATTCGATTTTAGTAAAAATTGTTTTTGGATGATCACTTTAAGCACATTCATAACCAAAATATTTATGAAATTTGTTCAGATTTTGAGTTTTAAGTTATTTGGCACTTGTATATTTGTTTTATTCAAACGAAATCATTACGATCTTTGAAAATAAATATTTACGTTAAGTAAGTACTTTAATGATAGCTCTCTCTTTAAGCTAAAAGCATTATCAGTATAATTAACGATGTGTCGATATAACATTAATGCCTTTATAGATAAGTGTTTTTGTGGATTTCTGACTGCAGGAGTAGTACATTTTTGCACAACCATTAATATCGCTTTTTGTTTAGTTTATGAGCCGTTCAACAAATTGGAAGCTCGTTGTTGCCACAGAAAAGGAAATTTTGTTCGAGAAAACGCACTCGCACTCATCATCGGTAAATTAGACACACTTTCGCAATTGACGGGTCCGCCAGCCACACTTCACTTTTCATTACGAATCTCCTCAAGCCGAACATCCAAGCCAAGCCACAACTGCAGCCGATGAGCGGATGGCTTATATTTCACCAACACGCGGCTGGAAATCGCTCTGATAACGTCGTTAAACGCTCTCCGCCAGCGAAATCGAAATAAAAATCGAAAATCGCAAATCGAAAAGAAAATCGCTGGAAAACTGCACTGCCGACTGCGCTGACTATCTAGCAATGAAATTGTGGTGCCCCAGGCAGGCAACATTTATACGGCTGCTCTCCGCGGTAATTAAGGCTATAAAACTGATTCGATTTTGATTGATGGATCTCAACAATGCGAGCAGAAAAGGGCGATTAGGCCGAGTTGAAGATGCGGTGAGTGTGGCAATGGATCGACTGTACTTATGCTCCGACCAGCTCCAAAAGTCGATTACTCATTCAACTCCAAACGCAATCAAGAGCCTCAGTTAATTGGCTGTGTCGTTACTGGTTGTGAAAGGTGTTGCAATCAAGGTGTAATGTAGAAAGAATTGATTGGTAAATGCGTTTTTAGAAATCCTTGTTGAAATCTGAGTAGATGCTTTCAAAACACTTGCTACGTTGACAGAAAAAAAATTTTGGGTTATTATGTAAATCTCCCATAAACAGATCAATGATTAAATTTTGAATCCACTTTCTTAAAATTTGGCATGCAAATGTCTATTTTGAAAAATTATTTGCTAGATTTTGTTAATCATTATACCAAAAAAGTGTGTCAAAGTAATATTGACTGTTTAGAAATAACATTTAATGTACTTTACATCTTTAATTTTGATCTTAATATTTTGATCAGTAATTTTAATATTTTATTTTATACAAACAAAATGTGTTAAAATGTATTTTTATAGAGCAGTAACTCAGTGGTGCCAGCACCAACCTATTCACCTCTTGTTATTCACTTTTGATCCACCTATTTTTACCTGACTGTGTATTAATGGGGCTTTAGTTTGGACGAGTGCTTGGGAAAAGTGCAGCACAAAAGGGCGTGGGCCCCGTGGAAACGCAAGGAAAAGTCACGTGCAAAAGACGAGACACACATGTCGAAGATGGAGAAGAGGATAACGCACGAGAAGAGGGCGAAGCAGGCGATTTTGCATGGGAATGAGCAGTATATGGCCAAAGACTGCGCTTGTTATTGTGCCTATTATGATGGTAGTTGAACGCCATTAAGGCGTGACGCCGCGAATTACCAAAGTGTAAACTACAGCACAAAGCTATGTACGAAATCTCATAAAACCGCGCTGCTCAAATTAAAAACGTTTTCTATTCCGTGGAAAGCGAAATTTATAGCCAAAAAACAAAACCGCAAAGAAAAATCACAATTAAATCTATTTGCACAAATGTTTCACATACGACGCGTTGTCTGGGGCCCCCAAAATATATAAAAACAAAAGCCCAAAGGCAGCCACACACACAGACACTTTCACATACTTTTGTTTTCTCAATGGATGCGGCGGAATTTTGTATTTTGTTTTTATGGGTTTGTACCGGAACACTAGTCACAGACTCTCGGGCGATTAATAAATAATCAAATCGGGCCAAAACGACGACAGAAATTCGTCCGTACGCGTTTACAGCCAAGTTCGAACTAAAACCAAAAACCAGCCGCATTCCAACTCTTTAGCCGCCTGCCAATCCAAAGGCGGCCAACAAACAGGTTCGAAGCGGGAGAGCCAACCAGCCAAACAATAAACAAAGCGAAAAAGCAGGCCAAAAGAGCGAACAAGTGTGTGTGGGAGAGAAACTAACATGGCCCAGACCATTTTCAGTCTCTGTTGCTGTTCAAACGGTTGCCAGACAGCTAGAAAAAGTTGGACGGCCAGAAAAGTGCTAGCAGTTAACAAAAAAATGCTAGACGGCTTATACACAAGTACACAAAACACAAATAATAATTTTATTATGTAAATATTGGCGTTGAAAAGCATCTTCCACTTACAACTTGATTAAAATATATATACAAATTATAACCTTGCTGTTTTTAAACCCTTTTTTTAAGTTCTTCCAAATATAGAAATGGTTAAGTATTTCAGAATTACGTTTTAAGTTTCATTAAAATCGGACGACTATATCATACAACTCACATGGGCACAATAAAAATACTAAAATAAATAAATTTCAAAAAAATTAAACTTCTCTATTTTTTAAAATTATAATTTAATTCAAATCTGAAACCGATATCATATAGCTGCCATATGAACAATCGACTAATTGAAATGAAAATTACATAAATTTATAAAATAAAAAATATTCAATATCTATATAATTTATGTAAAACGTAATAAAAGTTGAAAAAATTGAAATAGATTCCTGTCGTTACACTCCTTTATAGAACATGCCAATATATCAAAAAACCTACGGTGTCATCCTTTTATTTTTCTCAATATTATGTTACAAGATTTTCCATTAACAGTGGTATCTTCCACAACTAAATCTGGCAGCTCTTCTGCAGACTCTGCTCTTTCCCACGCAACTTGTTGGCTGCCAACATGTTGCCCGGCGAAACTAAAAACTAAAACCATACAACATCAACAAATTTGGCGAACAATGAACATTCTCAAGTATCTATTAGTTTGTGACTACCTTAAACCGATGCCAAATTGGCGACAGACGGAACTTTCAAACGGTATTCGGCTGCCAAATCATTCAAATACAGGCAAGAAAAAAACGTGGAAATGTCGCCGAGTCTGCCAATTAGCCAAGAAAATTAAGTCAACTGCCAAGTCAACTGCACCTGCAAAAGTGGCTCGGAAAATGCCTCGATTAGGCAAATTGAGGGCCAACAACGGGTAGACTTGGCAATTATGCACGGAAAAATAGAGACACACAACGAAAAAGGTGGGAAATACTTCCAAAGGCAATTGAAAATCAATTAAAGATAAACGTTTGAAGGCTAGATGCCAAGGTTGCATCAGGGCTATACTAAAAAAAGAAAATAAGGCTTAAAAGATCAGAATAAAAAGTGAAAAGGATAAAAAAAAATAATTGGGATAGATTATTCGAAAATAACATTATTTACATGTTATCATAATGATACAAATCTTTACAAAACATTTATTTATGTAGAAGCCTATGTTATAATTTGAATTCATTTATAGTTTTATAGTACAGTCAAGTATCCCAATGGCGAACAGCAACAATCTACGTTCTCCGTTCTGCAGTAGAGCCTGGAATAGATTGGCGTCTACGCACATTTCTTTGCGCCACGTCTGTATTTTCTTTTAGATCACGTGCATTTTGAGAAAGCCTACGTCTGGGTTTGGGTTGAACAAGGGGCTTGTTCACAGATTGGGCTTGTTTTGCTGGCACATTTTCTACAGGCAGTGCTTTATTTTCGTCTATGGAATTATCCTGAGGTTCGGGGTCTGGATTCTTAGTAGCTGACTCAGATTCTTGAGGCTCCGGTGGTGAGTTTTCCTCATCCTCATCGGTCCGCCTCTCAAGAAAGGCATCAATAACCTCGTTAGAAATACTTGCAATGGGCTTGGACACTAAGGTAGCGTTGAGAGCGTCTTGCAACATGACCATATCCTGGCTCACAAACTGAACACGATCTCTCAACAACTGGATCTCCGACATCGGGACCTGGGGAAACCCCCATTAAAACAGAGGATCTCGAGTTTATGAACCTCATCAATCAACTCACTTCTTTCCATCTACGCCTAAGCTTTTTAAATATCATCCAAGAAAGTCCAATCAGGAAAATGGTTAGGACCACTAGATAAGTCGGTGATCGATCTGATACCAAGAATTTCCACAGATCAAGGCCCTTGAGCATAAACCAGCAAGCCGATTGCCAAGCATGACAGTACGGTGATATCTTCACCGATGTTTCAAAGTCAATTTTCTGGCGGTACTCCCACATTTTATGGCCAAATTTTTGTTGATTTGGATCAAGAATTTTGAATGACTTACAAAGAAAACAGAACGCTGCTGTCTGGTAGTACAAAACTGAACTGAAACATTCAGCAATTTGTACAACGATAAATTCTCTGATTGCTAGATTAAATTTTTTTTGGCAACTTTTTGTTTGTTAAAAGTTTTGTTGATTTTTTATATGGTTAACCTTTTAATTGAGCAAATTTTTTATTTTTTATACAAATAGGTGGTGGAATTTTCACTATTTTCCCATTTCATTTTCAGATTCTAATCTTATAGCTCTTTCCATAAATTTCCCTTAATTGTTCTCGGTTCTTTAAATGCATTTTCCCCCTCCGTTTCCCAGCGCAGCTTTGTTGAATGTTGAATGCCAAGTGCAGAGACTGGGGAAAAACATGTTCCCAGCAGATGAGCAAAAACAAAGGCATTTGCATGACAAATTCAAGTCAGCCAGAGTTGTAGTCACTTCGAAAAGAGGAGAAGCCATGGGAACTTCAAGGTCCGGAAAGTTGACAGAGCATCCACAATTTACAGCCTGCGTGGGGTTAACTTATTTGCACACGCCTTAAATGCAGAGGAATCTAATTATTTTTGCAGATTTCTCGCATTGTTTCAGTCGTAGTCAAGTTTTAAAGCAGGTTAAGCGAGATTGATTATTTTATTAAAAAAAACCATCTCAATGAAATTATGTTGTTAAAATTATAGACACCATAAATCATTAAAAATTTAAACAAATCGATAAGGAAAATGTTTCTAGTTTTAAAATGAAAACGGTATCGATACTATTTGGATATGTCAAAAGCTTTTGAATACACCAAACAGAGTTTATTTTGGGTCACATTTTTCGCGACTTGACAAAAGTGTCGGCCTAAATTCTGAAGAGTAAACAATTGCCGCAAGTTAAACCTGTTTCTGGACCCTCTCACTTCATTTCCTCCGATCGGCTGAACGAAAAAATAAATTCCAACGGCATGACAGCCCCAGCGAGTCAGCAAAACTTGTAAGCCAAGTCAAGAGGGAAGGAGTTGGCCAAAACGAGGGGCGAGAAGGAAAGACCCCATCTTCTACCTTCAACCTTTTCACTCGGTACCGAGAAGAGTTCACAAAAGCGGCCAAACAACTTTTGGCCCGAGAAGATGTCAGCAGGAAACACGGTCGCCAGTTGACAAGCAGAACTGCCAAAGGAAGTTATATAAATTCTAGCAGATCCAATCTCAGAGCTCGCATTGTATTAACTAACATCTCTTGCTATTAATCTGATATATTTATTTGGCTTTCGTTATGGTCTCAGTTGCAATTAAGTCCCAGAGAAGTGAGCAATTTTTTTTCGTTGTAACTTTTATGACAGCCCGCAGGCAATAATCATAAATTTCGGATTTTGGGGGTGGGGATGGTGGAAAGAAAGCTCTTGAAAATTACCCAATTGAACAGTCGGTGGTACAACAATTGAAACAGTCGAAAAAGATGGGAACGGACTGATAACTAATTTCGGCAGAGGAAAAATAAGCAATCGAGTAACTCAACTAATGGAAATTTGAGAAAAATTTGAGCAAACTAATAACCCAAATTTACAAACTTGAAAAATAGACCCCAAGAAAATGAGTTCGTTGGTGATGAAAACAGTTTTTCCTTAAATCAGATAAGGTAATTTTTTTTCTAAAACAAAACCATAAATATATACAAACATTATGTCATTAAATGATACCAATATGATTATTTAAAAATTAAGTATAATATTGTATATACAAATCAATAAACCAAAACCAAAATGGGTCAAAAATGGGGGTTATGACATTTATGAAGCTCTACATGAAAACCCAAATAAAAATATTTTTTAGATGGCTTACTGTCTCATGGATCCCCAACGACGCTGGGACAAACTATCGGGATTGCTGCAAGTAAAATATTTATCAATTGGGGGGAGCGAATTTCATTTTTTTTATTTGAATTTATTTGAAGAAGAAGACGTATTTCCTAGGCACAAAGAAATATTTTAAGATTTCAAAATTAAAAGGCTATAGAAATAATGGTGTCAGTTGTTTTAATAGTTTCAAAAGTAAAGCCAAATAAGAAGACAGAGTTTTTAAACTTCAATAGATAATTTGGACAAATCGATAGATTTTGTAGGATACGAAATATGAAAAAAATAAAATAAGACCCTTAAAGGAAAAATAGTTTTATTTCAATTATGCATATTCTGATCAACTTTCAATGTTGTATCTAAATAAAAATAAAGTTCTACTGTTGTTCATAGTTGATTATTAAAAAATATATATTTATTCTAAGTAATATTTTTTATGTATGTATATTTTGTATGTATGTCTGGGATCAAATGAATCTTCATCACGGTATAGTTTAAGAGAGAGTTAACCGACTCTCTTACGATCAGGTGAATTGTGAACTCACCACGGCTTTAGCCGTGTTGAACAAAGGCGTAAACAGTCAGAAAGAGACGGGAGAACACGACTAGAAAGAGAGGCACGATCGCTGTGATGTGAGAGATTCCAAAACCCGAAGACAGAGACACGCATGAATCACGGCCCAAAGCGTTTCATGTGCCCAAGACAGAGCATAGAAAAAACTGGTTTCAGCCTGTGTATGCATTTTTTATGCCACACACACACACACACACAAACTAACGTGCAAACTGACAAACACAGGTTTAAAAAAAAAAAGAAAAGGTTAACTATTCAAATACGATTTTTTATGTTGCCTCGGACAGACAAATTGAGAGTTTTGAATTGATGAAGTCTCTGGGCCTGGCCAGTTTTATTTTCTGTTCACGGCTATTACGTATTCAGCCCGATTATGTGTGCAACCTTATAAATGTCTGACAACTAAGGAAATTCGCATTCGCTTCGATTTCCATTTTGGGAGGTGGTCCGATCAAATGAGCGATATTACCTGGTGGGAGTACGTCTCAGACTGCGCCTGGCCCAATTGTCCCGGGGCATTATGTTCAGCTCGTCATCACTGCAACAATGAAAACAAGTTAATAAAGTGTCAGCAGTGTTAACAATAGAAATATATGAGACATTTAAGTGTCATATAGTTCCAGGAATCGGATTCAGACTATCTAAATAAGAAGTTAAATATTTACTAAAAGTAAAAGACTATGGTTTCAAAATGTGTAGTTCACACATTACAGCTATGCCAAATAGTTATAAGAAATAATTATTTTAAATTTAAGAAGTAAACAAACACAAATAAACCATAAATGTTTTCGTTGAGAGTGTTAGAACTGTAATTACATTATATATTAATGAAGTTAAAACCAATATTACATGATTGATAATAATTTGTTAAACTAGGTTAAGCAATACTTAAATTTGTAAAAAATTATAATAATTAAAATATTAATCTTTACCAATTTAAATAATTATAATAATTACAGCCTTACAGCAAGTTAAGTGCTTTTGGTGAAATTTAATCATATGTATAATGTTGTTCTGATTTAAATGCATTTCATCTATAATTAATTTCCTTCCAATCCAATTTCAGCTCATGCTATTAAAAGTAATCAAATTCTAAAAAATTTTTTTATTTTTTGTTTGTGACACTTTTGAAATGCCGTGTATTAAACCTTTAGGAACTTACTCTTGGGGTGTAGATGAACCGACATGTGGGGCCAAATCGAGTTCGATGCCAGTGCTGCCATTTAAATTGTTATTTCCGTCGTTAGAGTGCCCACTGTGGTTGTGCTGTGAGCTCGCGTTTCCTACGCTCAGATTGTCATTATTGTTATGAATAAGGTTGCTGTTATTGTCGCTTCCATTGGAATTGGAACTGCGGCCTTCACGAAGTTGGGTGGGATACTCGTTCTCACCATAGCCCTCAAAGGATTCGCCATCCGAAAGCGAGGAACACTGGGATTTGGCTACGCCCGCTGTGTTTCAAAAAGTTGTTTAGTTTAAAAAATATATATTTTAAATCAAATTATTGTAAAGATACCTGTGCTGGAGGGCGGGCTGCTGGGAGTGGGACTACTGTCGCCGGACATCGTCTCTGCATATAGAAAGTTATTTGTGCTAGCCTTAATCGACGCATTTCCGTTGGGCAACTGAATTCGGGGCATGGGCGCCATTTTGGGGGGGGGAAAGAACTGCAGCTGCAAAAAGAAATAAAAGGTTTGAAAGTTAAAGCTGGTTGTTTTCGGAATGTATTTAGATATTCAATTGGCTACAGACATGACATGCAGGTCAATAGGTCAAAGTGCTAAACCAACTTTGACGTGCAATTGCAAAAAGTTTAGCGAAAGCTCAAAACACGAATCCATCCAAGACTAGCTTATTGATTGGAAACTTAACGAGAAAGTAAGTTGGTCCTTAACTACCTATAACACTTAGTGAAATGAAAATTTTTTTAGCAAATCAATATACGAAATCTTTTTTCATTCCTATATCTTTGTAAATTAATAGGTGTTCTTTGCCCATGTAAAGTACTATACATATGGGTTTGCTAATTGCACTTCCTTTTCATCAAAACTTGTCATTCTTTTTAGGAACAGCCTGCAACAGGTGCCTCTTTTACTTCCGGAAAAAAGGAAAATAAAAATTATCAGCCCAAAACGTCATTAAGTAAATTGGGTCGGACATTGGCCGTGGACATTACTTCCCTTACTGGTCACTTGCATTAGTCCCCACTTTCCCCTCCCTTCAATTACCCAAAACTTTGAGCCATGACTAAGGGCCTAAGTACTTTTATAGAAGTCTCGCGATCTAAGCGTGAGTAATTACCTGTATTTCTTTTTTAATTGGTCTTGCCTATGCCTTGCAACAGTTTTCGAGTTTCTTTCGTGAGTTTCACGCTTTCATTTCTTTTGGGCATTGTCACAAAACTGAGGTGGGTGTAAAAGGCAGATGGAGAAGGCAGAGTACAAAAATCTATAAATACAGTACGTACACAATTGGTCGAGTGTTGATGGCTGACCGATTGATGTGTCAGGGCCGTTAGTTGGTAGAAAGCAGAATTGGGTCAACTTTTGTTTTGGGGATTAGGTAAAATTACAATGACAAGTACGAAGACTTGGTCAAAAAAAGGTTAAGAAACTAATGATAAGAAACAAATTTACATAATTTC